AGAAAAACCAAAAAAAAAAGAATTAAAAAAAGGTAAGGGGCTGGGGATTTAGCTCAACAGCACAGTGCCTGCCTGGCAAGCCCAAGGTCGTGAGTTCGATTCCGGAAGAAAAACAGCATAGTGAGACCTCTCTTTTTAGAAGGGGGATAGGGTTGCTGAGAATGTAGCTCAGTGGCAGAGTCCCTGTCTAGTATGTATGATATTGTGGTCCAACACCCAACACCAAAAGGGGGAAAACACAGAAAACCTCAGGTGACTGGACTTCCCTGCACAGCAGATTAAGAGGAAAGTCAAACAGACTAGGGAAGTCAAGTTCCTCTAGAGAATTCTGATGCTGGCAAAGCAGGAAGCCCTATGGAAGACAGAAGTGGCCCTCATTATTCTGTTCTTGAGCTATTATAATTCAATGTCAGTATGTCTCTCTCATCCTAACCCCTCCTCTTACACATCAACCCAGATCAATATTCTTAAATGCCACAACGCCACATGGAAAGCAGAGCACTGGGGCTTGAACCCAGAGCCTTTGCACTGAGCTCAATCCCCATCATTTTTTATTTCTAAGACAAGATCTCAATAATTGCTGCGCAATCTGGGCTGGGCTGGAACTTGTAATCCTCCTAACTCAGCTTCCTAGAGTGCATGGTTAAATGCCTTTTTTTTTTTTTTTTTTTTTTTTTTTCTTTTTGAGACAGGGTCTTGTTATGTAGTTCAGGCTGGCCTTGAGCTCACTCTGTAGCCCAGGATGGTCTCAAACTCACAAAGATCCTCCTGCCTCAGCCTCCCAAGTGCTGGGATTACAGGCTTAAGTGCCATTTGTACTTAGCTCTGCCTCTACCACTCATTGGGTTTTAATAGTCTTTTACAGAAGGTAGGCAGCAACCTCAGTTAACATTCATGGTCTTCTCTCTGATCCCATCTCTCTTTCAAAAAAAAGGGAACTACCTTAAACAAGTTATACATAACACATATACTCACTGGTCTATTTCCTGCTCTCTAGCATGCTGGATGTTTATACTTCACCAGGTTTGTATCTGCCTCAGCACCACCACCACCCATCCACATACCTGTAATGTTCTAATGCCTTCTCTCAAGGTTAGTCTAAGTCCCTTCGAGGCTCCTCCCATATCGTTTTCTTTTAAGTTTTTTTTTTTGTTTTTTTTTTGGTTTTTCTCCGGTACCGGAACCGAACTCATGACCTTGCACTTGCCAGGCAGGCGCTTTTGCCGCTGAGCTAAATCCCCAGCCCCTTCTTTTAAGTTTTTTAAGACAGGGTCTCACTGTGTAGTCCAGGCTGGTCTTGAACTCATTATGTAGCCCAGGCTGGACTCAAAATCTCAGCAATTCTCCTGCCTCAGCCTCCTGCATGCTGGGATTACAGCCATGCACCACCACACCTGGCTGACATTTTTTCCTGGAGTATTCCCAAGTGCCTTGGCCACGAACACATACCCAGTACTCTATAGTTTACAAAACACTACCACAAGTATTTTATTTTCTTGTAGATACCACTATAATCAACAACTTGTACATATATTTCAGATAGATATTACTATAATCACCAATTTAGATATATTTACTAACATTCTCAAGAACAAGCAACTAAAAAAAAAAAAAAGCAACTGCTAAATACCAGAAAACACATTCTTTTGGGTTCCAAATCCTGTCTTCTTTCTACTCAACATATTCTCTCCTAGAAGTTGCCAGACTTAGCAAACAAAAATGAGTCCTAATTAAATTTGAATTTCAGACAAACAAGTCACTTTTTAGTGCAATACATAAGAGACACTTAAACAATTATCAGAAAATCAAATCTAACTGGACAACCTGTATTTATCTCGGGGGCTATCCCGTCTCCCCTAAAAAAGAGAAACCTCTTGCGTGTCTGTTCCTTTTAACTGGTGTTTGTGTACTATTCTGTATTATTTTCTATGCTCACATTTAAAAGCTTTTGAAACCTTGCAAAAGTTTATGTCCTTGGCTTCAAAGCGGACTCAGAAACTCAGCTCAGGTCTGGGCCTGAAGAGAGCTGGCTCATCGAACGAGAGCCTTTGTGGAAACCAGTCCTGGATTTAAATCCCGGCAGTTGTGTGACGGGACAAGTCACTTAAAATCGTCGACACTCATCTATAATACAGAAGGTTATTTACCTTAAATGAGGTTTAAGTGAAATAAAGTAAGTAAACTGCCTGACACATTGAAAACCATCTGTAAGCTGTAACTTTGACGATAGTACAGGAAAAGGTAATGGAGTTGGAGCGGTGAGTGGGGTAATTTATAATCGCTCTTCCTAGCATTTATTTTGAGTCCAGATGCACGCTAAAGGCAGACCCGGGGCTGGTCTAGAGAGGACGTCGCTGTAGTGAAGCAAGACGGTACGGACGGGCTGGTCGATGGCTGCCCACAGGCTGGCTGCCAGGGCCGTCCTCAGCCGGGCCCCAGGATGACTCAGGGAGCCGCCCGGCCGCTCCCCGCCGGCCCCACCGCCTCACCTCGCCTCCCGGCCCTGCGCCCCCACCCCAGGCTCCCCCGGCCGGGTTCTGCGCTCCACCACCCCCGTACAGGCCCGGGCCGCGGGCCCCGAGGAGTTCCTCACCAAACCATAGTACTTTCCAACACCATCTTGCTGCCTTCCTCTGTCCAGACCGGTTCTCTGACTGCCTAACAAAAGCCCCTCCAATTGGCCCGGCAGTGTCCACCAACCAAAGACCTTGGCTTGGCACGCTGGTCCGGCCTCCATTCCTTCGCGTTGCATTCTGGGAGTTGTAGGCTCAGACAAAATAAAAGCGACGTCTCCGGGAGCGGATGGAGAGGGTTACCACGGTAATGTAAAAAAGACGACCTACTTGTGGTAGGGCGTCGTGGCTCACGTCTGTACTTCCAGCACTCAGGAGGCTGAAGCAGGAGGGGATCTTTGCGAGTTCGAGACCAGCCTGGGCTACAGGAGCTCGAGGCCGGCCTGAACTGCATAGTGAGATCCTGTCTCAAAAAAAAAAAAAAAAAAAAATCCAATTTTTAAAAATTAGACCAGGCGAGGATCTCCAACTTTATTTTCCTGTGATCTTGATTTCCCTTTGTATCTAAATCTAGTGGACAGCTATAAACACTTGCTGCCAGCCACCACTAGAGGGACCCTTTGACCGCAGAGAGATGTAACCCAACGCTTTCGCAGTTGTAATGCCCTGAAGAGGGAGACCATTTGTGCTTAAAACACATTCACATCCAATTTCTATTAGGGAAAAACATTGTTCTCTTATTGAGCCTCAGTAAAAGATAAACCTAGCCAGGAATGGCGTTGCATGCCTGTAATCCCTGCAGACAGCTGAGGCAATTTTAGTCCAGCCCAGGCTATGTGCTGAGAACTTGTCTCAAAAAACAAAGACAAAATAAAGAAACAAAAAAGGCTAGCCTGTGGCAAAGTCCAATTTAAACCTGAGGATCCCCAGTTCCTCTTCCATCCAATCTTTCTAGCACAAGTTTTTTTTTTTCTGAAGCACTTCATGCTCTCTCCAGTTGCCATGGCCATCATTCCCAATCCACATCACCCAACGGGTCTGTTTTGTTTTGTTTTTTTCAGACAGGCTCTAGTGCACTATGCAGTTCAGGCTGGCCTTGAGCTCACTTTGTGGCCCAGGCTGGTTTCGAACTCATAACCATCCTCCTGCCTCAGCCTCCCAAGTGCTGGGATTACAAGCCTGCGCCACTACACCTGGCTTTACGCCTTTTTTTTTAATACATTCTGGTGGAACACTGTTAACAGACTGGTCTCTCATTTTTTTTCCCAATTCTGTGGGATCAAATTCAGCACCTCACATGAGGCAAGCACTTTTTCACGAAACTACACCGCCAGCTCTAAACTTGTTTTATCGTTTTAAAAAACATTCCATGATTCTCCACTGTCTATAAAGTTTCTCAGCCTACATGCAGTTTCTAATGTTGCCTCCACCAGTACTTAGTTCAGTATGCTTACCACCATCTCTTCCTTGTTCTCTAAAACAGACCATTCTCATGGTCCTAGGTCCTTGTGCTGAAATGAAACTTTCCCCAATGCTTGCAGCCTACAATAACCTCTGATTTCCTTCCACTTTTATATTTTGTACCATTCTTTCAAAGAGCTTAAATCCTTAGCAGTTATCACATCTAATTTTTTCTAATGTGTTTGTTTTCCTCCTGGACATTATAAATGCTTGAAGCCAAGTTCTTCTTTTGATCTCCAAATACTCTGGACATAGCTGCTACATTCTACATACTTGTAAGAATTTTTTTTAACAATGATCTCGCCGGGCGTGGTGGCGCATGCCTGTAATCCCAGCACCTGTGATACTGAGGCAGGAGGATCACTGTGAGTTCAAGACCAGCCCGGGCTACAAAGTGAGTTCAAAGCTAGCCTGAACTGCAGAGCAAGACCCTGACTCAAAAAGACAAAAAAAAAAAAAAAAAAATCTTAACAGGACAGGGAACAGTGGTATGGAAAGGAACGATGTTTAGTGAACTTGTTTTTCTAAAGCTTCCCTACCTTGGAATAAACCCAACTCACTCTTTGCCCAGTTTCCTATCAAAGTAAAAGAGCCTACACTCAACCTCGTGGAAAGCAGTCTTCGTGATTTTGTGATAACCCTACAGCCAAGTACCCAGAAGATTGAAAGGCAGGGAACTTATGGCCAACCAATATCCAGCTTGCTTCCCTGTCTTCCTTTCTTCAAACCTGAGTAAACCTTGAGCTTTCAACTCAAATCCCTGTTAAATTATAGTGAAGGGGCTGGAAAGAAGGTAATGAGAGCCAGAGTTGGACTGAATGCAGTAAGAGAACTAGAAAGGATGGTAACATGAACAGAACAGAGCTTGGGTGACAGAAGTGGAGCAGACGAATATGAAGAAGGGAGAAGGCAGGAGGGATAGCACGGGGGTAAAGCACTTGCTTATTAGCATGTTCAGGTTCCTGGGTTCAGTCCCCAACACCAAAAAGACACAAGCAGGAGTAACAACAAAGTAGAAAAAGGTAGTCTACATAAATGATGCAAGTTTAATACATTAAAACCAGGTATTTATTACTTTTAAACTGCATTTGCCATTTCTGAACAATACAAAGTAGAGCAAATAGTAACACTTCATAAAAATGTTGAGTCCCTATTCCTTTCCCTACGACCCTCCCTCAAATATTCCCTCCCACCCCTTACAGAACTCTGTCCTGAATAAAACACTTAAATACATCATAAATAGTAAATTATGAAAAATAATAGCAAGAATTGTTTCTTTTCTTCTTGTAAAAAAGAACATGGCAGCAAAGACAGGGAGCCAGAAACTGGCTGGGGTGTCTAATATAGACAGTTGCTTGGGGCACAGGCTAACCTACGACCACGGTCGGGCGGGATGGAGGAGAGACTGTAGGAGAGACTGTAGGACTGCGACAATCTGCCTCAGACACCAGGTCGCCTTCTTCCCCTGACCAGAGCAGACCAACCGGATGGACAACCACAACTGAGATGGACAACCACAACCGAGATGGACAGGAGAGGGCTTACGGGCCTCAATTCCAAATTCCCTGCACAAAGAGTGGGAGCAGAGCATAGGCACAGCCATGAAGTCCCCGAGGTACGTGTCTGCCAGGCCCCATGAACTGAAGAGAGCCTTCTCTCACCTCCCCGCCTGTTCAACAGACACAGGTATCTCTGTCCACCTCAGCTCTACAAATAGCAGAACACCATTTGGAAAGATGGGGAGAACAGAGAAGTCTCCTTTGAAGAGTGGTCTAAAATCCATTTGATAAATCTTCATATTTAGAAAAATGACTAGAATACATCTCAAACTGCAAAGGCTTAGTAACCGTTACAGCCTGGCAATGAGTGGGGTCCTGCCTAAGAAGGATTCTCATCTCCTCACCCATGGCAGCCCCACTGTTTTAACAAAAGGGGCAAAGATGAGCCCATGTCCTATTCTTTTCATCCCTTCAGCCTTAAGAATTTCATCATCCTATGAGGAGATGAAAAGCTGCTGCAGGCACAGCGATCACATTTCTGTTTCACAAAAACCGGGGCTCATCTGCAGGAACCCTATGGGCAGGGATCTCTGACTTTTGGAGTTCTGATCTAAAACTGGCTTCAAATTGTGCTGTGTGCTCTTTGTTCTTGTCCTTTTTAAAGAAAAAAGGAGAAGGATGGAGACGGTTACACACCCTTATTCCCCGAAAACCCTTTATAACAACTATAGAGGTCTTCCTCCAGGGACAAGAGGAAGAGGGTACGGGATCGTGCGCCAGCCGGTCTGTCCTGAAGAAATTAAGTCCAGCTCCTGGTGAAAGATGCACAAAGGGAGGAAAACCACAAAGTCCAGCAACCCCATTTCCAGCACACACAATGGGAGTTTGAAGAAATTCAACTGTGGAAGCCAAGGATGGCCTGTCACAACTCTGCCAGCCGGCTCTGGAGTGGAAGGACTGCTGCTGTCCTCAACTGTCCAAGGCACTGATGCCCACTCAGAAGATGGGGAAGAACAGCTTCTTCCTCCTGACGGAGATGGGGAGCTCCCCTAGCTCCCTATTAAACTCCTTTTTTGTTCATTTTTGATGATCAGGAAGAAAACTGAGCATTCCTGGGCAAGGGCGGACATCTTGATATCACAGAGACGGTGGGGTCTTGTTTCAGGTCTTCTGAGGTTTGTTGCTCACTGAGAAGGAAAAGGATGTAAAGTTAAGGATGTGGAGCATGAGATTAGGAGGTAGGTATGGAATTCAAGTTAACTTAAACCTAGGTAGCAAAGTCAAGACACTTTCTTCTATTTCACCCTCATTTTCCAGTGATGTTACCAAAATAATAAAATTTATAAATAGCAAGTTGTAGGAGGCACCCAGGCCCTGTAACCTTGTCCATTACTTTTTTTAACCCCTCCCCATAACCTTCCAGCTCCGTTCTGTCAGTGATTTCCTTTACACCCTCCAGAAACCCTCCCCCACACCCCAGACACTCACGTGAGGTAACTGCTCCTCTGTAATTTCAAGCTTTTCCATGGCTGAACTAAGAGGAGAGAAAGAGAAGCAAAGAATTGGAAGATTAAAAAAAAGGATTTTCTTGTAAGGTCAAATCTTATACTGCTTCTTCATGTCCCTTCAGAATCAATTTAGAATTCAGAGAAAGAGATGCTAATAGATTTAAAAAGCACATTGTTTTAGTTTTTCTTTTCTTTTTCTTTTACAGCACCAAGGATGAAACCTGAGGCCTTGAGTATTCTGAGTGAGCAAGCACTCTACCACTGAGCCCCACAAACTTTGTGTTTATTTTGAGAGAGGGTCTCACTAATTTGTCCAGATTAGCCTCAAACTTGCAATCCTCCTGCCGTAGCCTCCCAAGTAGCTGATATTAGAGCTGTGTGGCTGACCATGGCTGGCCCTTTAAGAATTTTAAAATAATAACAATAACAACAATAATAATATAATTATTATTTATAGTTATTATTATTTATAATTATTATTTATATAATTATTATTTATTATATTATTTATATATTTTATTATTATTATTAATAATAATTATTATTATTATTATTATTCTCTTTGAGATAAGGTCTCACTAGGCAGTTCAGGCTGACCTTAAGCTCACCTTGTAGCCCAGGCTGGTCTGGAACTTGCAATGATCCTCCTGCCTCAGCCTCCCAAGTGCTGGGATCACAGGCATGTGCCACCACACCTGGCTATTATTATTTTATTATTATTATTTTTGTTTTTTGAAATAAGATCTCACTACATAGTCCAGGTTGGCCTTGAACTTGCCATGTAGCCCAGGCTGGGCAGAAGCTTGTGATCCTCCTGCCCCTACCTTCCAAATTCTAGAATTATAAATTTGAGACACTGTGCCTTGCTTTAAAACTCCAGAATATATGCCTAATGAATTGAGTGATCTAGCTAAGGAGGTTTCTAAGCAAAGTACTGAAGATATCTTTTTTTATTTTTAGTGGTAGTATGAGGGACTGAACCCAGAGCCTCACACATACTAACCGTATGTTCTACCACCAGCTCTATCACTTGCTGCTTTGAGGCTTATAGTAAAATGGAAGAGAACTAAATAAAGAGAAAAAAATATGAAAAAGCCAGAACTTAAGAGAAATTTTTTAAAACTTTGAACTCCAGAGAAAAATCAATTCTAAAATTAACTTTTTTTAAAAAAAGTCCTAGGGATTGAATCAGGGCCTTTGCACTGAGCTACTTCCTCAGCTGTTCATTTGTTTTCTCTTCTCTCTTTTCGTTTCAAGACAGGGGCCTCATTAAATGACTAAGGTATGTATCCAAGTTCGTTTCAAAATTGTGATCCTCCTGCCTCAGCTCCCAGTCTGCTGGGATTACAGATGTCCACTACCATACTGACCTTAAAATTGAAAAATTCTGAGCAAGGATCAAATCCAGGGCACTGTCAAGAAAATAGTTTCTAAAGATGAAGCCAAGGGTATGACTCTAAGATATTTGATTAAGACCTCAGAAAAAGAGCTGAGCATGGTGGCACATGTCTGTGATCCCAGCACTCTGGGAGGCTTAGGCAACTTTGAGTTTGTGCCCAGTCTGGACAATTTAGTAAGTACCCTGTCTCAAGACCAAAAAAGGGAAGGGAATGTAGCTTGGCACGAAGGCCCTGGATTCAATCCCCAGTACCACCAAAATAAAGATGTATAAATTTTTAAAATAAAAACAAATTACAAGAGGCTGAGAGAGTAGCTCACTGACAGAGTACTTGCCTACCATGTATGAGGCCTTGGGTTCAATCACCAACCAGCACTGCAAAAGCAAACAGAAAGATCACGGACATGTTCTGACAGAGCCTCTCAACTGAAAAAATAGGATATCTAAAAAGTGGACAGCTTATCAAGAAGACATTTATGAGTATGCATCTGTCTAATGGAGTGAATCTCAGTGATAATCAGAGGAAGGAAGTAAAATCTATGAGGAAATTATATCAGCAAAAACACTGCCAGTTTGGGTCAAATGGGGCAGAGAATGCAAAATGAAGAACCCGTCAGATCCCGCCCCCCATCTTGTACTGGAAAGAAGTAGGCTGAGAAAACTGCTTAAATGTAAACACATTCTAGTTTTCACAGAAAAGGAAAACTCAAGACAAAATCCAGAGTCCAAAGGGTGAAGCTAAGAGCCATGAAAAATTTTCTCACACTTTAAGGTCTAGTCAAATAAACTCCATTTCAGGCTGAGGCAGGAGGATCATTGAAAGTTCAAGACCAACTTGGGCTACAAAGTGAGCTCAAGGCCAGTCTGAACCACATAGCGAGACCCTGTCTCAAAAAAAATAAATAAATAAACTCCATTTACTAGGTTTTGGGATAGTTAATCAATCAGTAACAACTAGCAGGGTGTGGTGGCACATGTGATGGTACCTGTGGAGGCAGGAGGATCACAAATTCAAATCCAACCTGGGCAACTCAATGAGCCCTTGTCTCAAAAAAAAAAGTCTCTGGGTGTGGTGGCACATGCCTGTAATCCCAGCACTCAGAAGGCTGAGGCAGAAAGATTGCTGGGAGTTCTGAGACCAGCCTGGACTACACAAATTCAAGGCCAGCCTGAACTACACAGTGAGACCCTGTCTCAAAAACAAAACAAAACAAACCACCACCACACCAACAGAAAACCAGGTTGAAAAAAAAAAAAAAGAAAAGTAGGTTGAGGGTGTAGCTCAGTATGAAGGCCCTTGGTTCAATCCCAGTACCACCAAAAACCAAGACAAAACAAAAACAATGAATCCTTTTGGTTTCTCCCTGCCCTTTTTCTAGTGGTGCTAGGAATAACCCAAGGCCTCCTGCATGCCAGGTAAGCATCCTATTGCTGAGTGACACTGCCACTCCTGCATTTTCCCTTCAGCACATGAGTGCACACAGCAGTGATCAAATGCCTGCCCTACCACACTGAGTGCCCAGTGCGCGGAGAAAGGGAAACTGTCTTTTTAGTTTCATGGGCCCTCAGAATGAGAGGAGCTGTGCTTAAGGAACTCTATATGGAGAGATAGAGAGTTTATTCAAACTTGGACCTGACTGGGATAGCAAAATGTGGGACTTTCAGCCAATGAGACCTGGAAGAGAGTACGTGAATTCTCCAGGCAGAGATGTGAATCACTAGGGGCCAGGAGTGACTATGATAGCCAGATTCTAAAATGGCTCCCAGTGATACAGCTTAAAGTATGAAAACCTCATGACATTCCTTCCTCTTGGCTGGTTTTGTGTTGTGTTGTGCTGTGTTGTGCTGTGTTGTGTTGTGCTGTGTTGTGTTTTGAGACAGGGTATCCCCATGGAGTCCAGAGGTCTTAAACTATGTAGCCCAGGCTGGTCTCCAACTCGAATTCCTACCTCAGCCGACTGAGTGCAGGGATTGTAAGCGTGCACTACCATGTCCAGCTTATTTCTTGCTCTTGAATGTGGACTGATTAATGACTAGAAGGTGTCAATGCTAAGATTAGGCTACAAAAAGACTGTGACTCCTGCTCAAGTACATTCTCTCTCTTCACTGTGAAAAAAGCCAGCTGTCACATTCTGAGCTCTCCTATGGAGAGGTCACAGGGCAAAGGGAGACTCCCAGTACACAGCCATCCTCAGTTCAGCACCCTGCAGGGAGGTGAATCATACCAGTAACTACATAAATGAACTGAGAAAGAAACCCTCCCATTTGGGCTGTCAGACAAGTCCCCAGCCTGGCCAACTGTATGACTGCCACCTTGTAAGAAACTCTGAGCCAGAAGGTTCAGCCGAGGTGCACCTGAATTTCTGACCCACAAAAACTATGGTGCATGTTTGTTATATTAAGGCAGTAACTTCTGGGGTAATTTTTTATACTGCGATAGATAATACAAAATTAAGTCCCAATCTTTATTTACACTAGACCCTTTTGATAGTTTGACAGTTCACTGTTTTAACCCTAGCAATCTTCCTAGGGTTAAGTCCTAATCTGAATTCTCACTTTGCTCACCAAAAGATGAAGGATTAGTTGAGATATCTGAGTACTATAAAGGTGGCACATACACAACCCTGAAAACATAAAGGCAGGGACACACTTTTCCAAATAGCTAAAGATGAGCTCCCAGTGAACCTGCACAAATTTAGTAAAGAGGACAAAAATAATGCTCCCATGAAAAACAGAATAATGAAGGACCTGTGCCAGGTAAGGGGGTATATTCCTGTCATTCCAGCTACTTAGTAGGCTAAGGCAGGAGGTTTCCAAGTCTGAGGCCAGTCTGAGCAACTCAGAGAACCCCTGTCTCAAAATAAAAAAGGCTGGGGATATAACAGGTAGCAGAACACTTCCTTGCCTAGCATGTGTGAGCTGCTGGGAGTGTGATCCCTAGTACTACCAAACAAAAGTTATGGAGGGATAATGTGACTACATGGTGAAAGGGTCAAGGAACCAACCTCGTATTTAGTACTTGCAAAGTCTCTCCAACTACATGTGAGAAACTAGGGCCAGAAACAAATGAGTCCTCACTGACTTCCTCCACAGGTGCAGTCTGAGGTAAAACATCAGGACGACCAAGGTGGACGTCTGGAAAAGAGAAAAGGGAAGAAAACTGGTAAATGAAACAGAAGAAAGAGGTAATGGGCAGAGGGAATAAAGTGGAAAACATGTACGATCTGGCTTTTCCTTGATAGAAATGGGAAGCAAAGGCCCTGGCCAGAGAGGCTAAGGACTCAGAAAGGAGAGAAGAAAAACACAATCACACAGGGACCCCCACCCTGGCGCTGACCTGGCTCCACTTCCGCCTTTGTTGTCACTTGTGCTCTGTGCTCCCCAGAGGCCGATGGCTGGTAAGTAACGCAGGTGTTGCCGCTGGGGCCTGCTCGCCGAGAGAAAGATGAGCCAGACCGAAACTTTTTGGAAGGAGAGGGCTTCACTTCAAAAGGGAAAGAAAGCCTACTTAGCACCAACCTCAGAAACCATCACCAAGACACAGACACAAACTGCTAGTTCTCCCCAACACACACCCGAAGTTATTCTGAAGCAAAGCAGGAAGAAGGGTTAATGTCACAAAGATGGGTTCTATCAAGGATTAGTAGACCGAAGGTCACTCTCCGCTTTGGAAAGAAAACAAGGCCTCAAGCAAAGGTGACACGTACATATACCCCTCCCCAGCCCCAACGCAAGAGGCTTTGCCTCTACTTGATGAGATGTTCTCTATTCCATAGTTCCCAGTAAACAAAGATGACTCTTTTAGTCTACATCTTCTAACCACTTATGAACACAGCAATATAATATATATTATTATAGATCAAAACTGAAAAGGGATAGGTATGGTGGAGCATGCCTGTAATCCCAGCACTCAGGAGGCTGAGGCAAGAAAGAGGATCATTATGAGTTCAAGGCCAGCCTGGACACAGCAAGACTATGGCTCAAGAAAAACAACAACGAAAAACAAAAAAAGAGTTTTCCATGCTTCTTAAGACTGTCTGGCACACGTAGGTCCCTCTCTGCCTCAGTATAGGACTAATGATGCCCAGGATGAGGAAAGGGAAGGAGAAACTAGAATTTACCAGTGGTAACAACGTGGAGAATTTGGAAAAAAAGAAAAAAAAAAAGGAGTATGGCACTTCCAAACCAAGGAAGCTGAAGGAAGTGACTAAGAAAACTCACTAAACAGAAATCAGTAATGCTTCAACCACTTAACTAGACTGAGAACTCCCTGGCACCTGAAATATGCATGAAAAAAAAGACATTAATAACATCCTTATCTATTTCTATACACAAGTTTGGCTCTATCTGAGCATGTGGCATGGATTCTCCATCCACAACTACACTTTTTTTTTTTTTTTTTTTGCAATCCCACCAATTCCCCAGAAATGGCCCTCACCTCAATGACACATGTAGAGAGAGCCAGGGGGAAGCAGCAACTTGGAAACAACTGGGACAGACAGAATGACTGACAAAAGGACGAGAAGCAGCTCTCATAGGGTGCAGGCAGAGCAGAAGAGGCCTCTGGCCTTTGCAGCTCTCTGACAGAGGTGTCCTGCCCCCCATGTGCTGGGGTAAGGGAGCCACTGGGGGGTCATCTGGTAGAAGCCACTTACGGGGGATCTTCTTGAACACTGTGTTGCACATGAAGCGCTGGAATCGCTCAGCATAGAAGCCTGGACGGTGCACTGATACAGTGTCCTGCAGAGAAGAGGCTACACTGTTAGAGACAAAGCATCCCAGCAAGAGGACCTGTAGTCTGAGGCCCATTTCCCTCTGACAGAGACCTAAGACAAGGGTAAAACTCAGAAATGAAATTTTAAAATGCATGGAAAAAACCCAGGGGGGCCAAATCAGACGTGACAAGCAGAGGTGGGAGGTCTTTAGCTGACTGCTACTCACCCCATCATGTACCAGCGCTTTCCAAGAGTGCTCCAGCTTCTTAACAAACCTGCCAAGAAAAATTTGTATCACACATACTGTTGTTGAATGAGGGCACTTAATAGCTTTGGTGTTTTGTTTTGTTTTGTTTCAGGGATTTAAAGGAGCAATGACCGCCCCCCTCAAGAAAAAAAGAAAAAAAAGAAACCCCAGAAAGATAAAAGCCAGAAAAGCAGCCAATGTGGTGGCCTATGCCTATAATCTTAGCACCAGGAGGCTAAACCAGGAAGATCACTGCAAGTTTGAGGCCAGCCTGCACTACATAGTGAGTTCAAAACCAGCCTGAACTACGTAATGAGACCCTGCCTCAACTCCACCCACCCCCAAAAAAAGAAAATTAAAAGCTGGAAAAGATGCACACTGTGGTACACTGGCTTTCAAAACAGCCATGGCAGTGCTAGTTCAGCAATGTTGTTTCTAGGTTAAGTCAATTATTCCCCATGAGAAAAGAGTAGTTTGTATGTCCCTGGCAAGTGAAACACAAGAACATTAATTGTAAAACAAAACATTATCCCGGCGCTCCAAGAAGAACTCGACAACTGCATTCATCTGCTACCACTGTTAAAAGCCAGGCCACCTCAAGAGGAACTGCCCTAAGAGGCCCCATGGGCCATGCCCTGGATGCAAAGGAGACCACTGGAGATCGGTCTGCCCTCTGAGGTGGAGGCCCCAGAGCTCAGACCCATGCTGCCAGTTAGTCCAACAGGAATGAGAGGGCTTGGGGCATGGTCTGCCTTCTCCCTCTGGCCAGACCGTCATCTCCATCGAGGAGTCCTGGGTAATCATGACTATGGAGGAACAAGAAAACAGCCTGTTGCTAGACACAGGTGCAAGTCTCTCAGTCCTTCTTTTCAATCCTGGCCTTCCTTCCAGCCATCATACCTCAGTGAAAGGAGTCACTGGTGAGGAGGTAATATGCTATTTTTGACAACCCTTAGGCTGTAACTACTTAATAGGTCCTTCTTGCATATCTCTATCTTCCTGAGAAACCACTTTGAAGATACCACCACATATTACAGCAGCCATTGATATTTTCCTACTAATCTATCCATAACTGTGTAAAGTTTGTAATGTTCCTATCGTATTTCATAAATGGATGTCTGTTTATTATTATGTGTTTCCTACAACAACCATTGAGAGGGCTGGGGATTTAGCTCAGCGGCAAAAGCGCCTGCCTTGCAAGCGCAAGGTCGTGAGTTCGGTTCCCGGTACCGGAGAAAAACCAAAAAAAAATAAAAAAATAAAAAAAAAAAAAAACAACCATTGAGAATAGTTAATGATTTTTCAATAGGTCACTTATGTATAGCTCTATTTATTTTCTTTAGAAGCCACTTTGAAGATACCAAAGTATAGTACAACAACTCTTGATAATCTCCTACCTCTTTTGTCTGTAACTCAATATTATTTGTCTATTTGTTTTCCTGAGAAACTATTTTGTAGATAATAATATGTAAAACGATAACCATTGATAATTTCCTACCATTTTGTCTGTAATTTGCTAACTCCCCCCTATTATTATGTTATCCTTCTTTTATTCTTATAAAAAACAAAACAAAACAAAACAAAAAAAAACATTAATTGTAGAAGCAAGGCACAACGGCCCACACCTGCAACCCCAACTACCTGGGAGACTGATGTAGGAAGACAGCAAGTTTAAGGCAAGTCTGGGCAACTTAGTGAAACCCTGTCTCAAAATAAAAAGTAAAAAAGAAGCGAGGCATGGTTGCACATGCCTGTAATCCCAGCACTAGGGAGGCCGAGGCAGGAGGATCATTGCGAGTTCTCGAGACCAGCCTGGGCTACAAAGTGAGCTCAAGGCTAGCCTGAACTGCATAGCAACACCCTGTCTCGAAAAGACAAAAAAAAAAAGTAAAAAGGGGTCAGGGTAACGCTCAGTGGTGAAGTACTTAGATAGCATGTATGAGACCCTAAATTCCATTGCCAGTGCCAAAACAAAACAAAACACAGACATACAAAAATAAGGCGAGCTGACAGAACACATGTGTAAGAGCCTGAAAAGGGTAGTTAAAATTTGATAATCTGCCAGGAGTGGTAGCGCACACCTATAGTCCCAGCACTGGGGAGGCTGAGGAGGGAGGATCACCATAGGTTTGAGGCCAGACTGAATTACACAGTAAACCCTGTCTCAAAAAATCCAAAACTAAATTTTAATTAATTTTAAAAATTGGGTAATTCTCTGAACCAATAAATCAAGTACTGTCTAGTTCTCATTAGTACTAAAAGGTTACAGGAGCAAAACTGCGATCTAACAAGTCCTGCTTCTCCCTCAGCACCACTCCACTGCCTCTTAGCCTCTTGGGCAGCAATTTTGACAGCTCTTCCTCTGTGGAAAGGGGCATGTACTTCAGCTTCCTCCCAGTGTGGAGAATGACTCATCTCACAGGGTTTTCACAAAACGCCAGGCAGATGGTGTGCTCTACCTTGGCACTTCCGAACACTGACTCAGCCTTCCACAGAAGGTCTACATCATCAGTGGGGAGGCAGTAGGGTAGGGAAGCCACAGAAAGAAGCCAACCATCTAAAAAAAAAAATCAATGAGGTCAGCAGCCAGACTGCAACTGTTCTTACCTGAGGAAGAACTTAACAACAAACCCATCTAACAAAGCAATGTGAGTGGCTTCTGCATCAGTCCATATGCTCCTCACCTGTAAGACTGCAGAATATCAATGATGCCGATGTAAAGCAGGAGCCTTTCCCCTTTATTATTGCGGGCAGGAATGCCACCCATGCTGGGAAAGACAAAAAGGAAGGAATTAGGAAATCTGTTAGCTAGAAGGTAGAAGCTTCTCCTAACCTTGAGTCAAATCAGGATGGAACTGAGATCTAAATATAACTGATTTATCCTCTGTAAACTGCAAAACTGTGAGACTCCTTCCCCCAACTGTAAGAATCTCTCGGGTATGCACTATAATCTCCTGGCTAGTCTTTTCGCCTACTGTTCCTACCCCAGCTCCACCAAAAAAAAGTCTCTAAAAGCACTACTACTCAGCAATATTCTAACTGCTTGCAAAGCGAACTCTGAATGTCCTGATAAGTTCTGTATCTTATTGCCTACTAAAGACATTCTTCTTGGGGCTGGGGGTTTAGCTCAGCGGCACAGCGCCTGCCTGGCAAGCACAAGGTCGTGAGTTTGATCCCCGGTACTGGAAAAAAAAAAAAAAAAGACATTCTTCTTTAAAGTCATGTTATGGGACACCTAAAAATGAAACCATCCAACAGACACACAGTATTTCAGAAACTAAATTAAACTCAGCAATGGTAAGAAAGATGCCTTCCAAAGAAGTCTATAATGAATTGTGATAAAGTTAGAATTAACAGACACAAACCTAACATTTTGAATGTAATATATTGTCTTTTTACCCTGGATAGCTCTCCCTCCCGTATGAATTAAAACCTCCAAATTAAAGCCATTTTCCTTTCCTTTTCTATTCTTAAGAAAGCTCATTTGATGATTCTACAAGCATTTATGTTGCTGGCTTAACTGCTGCCTCAAAGCTACTTCCTTTCCAGAAGTTAAGTGCTTTCAGTAAGAAAAAGGGCTATGCGTCTATCTCTGCTCACCTCCCTGGTGCCCCAAGCCCACTCACTGGTCATCGGTCTCCATGGTGCCACCACGTCGAGCCTCACCCTGGATCGATTCCATGGCTGTGGAATACAGGGCCTTTTGGGAGGTTGGTCTACGAGTGTCAACTGTGTATTGTGTTTCACTGCTTAAGGGCTCTCGCTGTGAATGATCTATGTTGTGGATTGACATCAAGAGACTATAGTCCATTATCTTGAAGCTCTGAAGCACCTAAGGAAGGAAAAGATAATCTGAGCCCTGGGAATTAGCAGGATATTTTTTCAAGACCTTATCATTTCATTATTCTTGGTGGACAACCTCCAAGGCTAACCATAGGATTATCCCCTGATCTACTCTTTAGAAAAGAGTTAATAGCCTGGCATGGTAGTGCACACCTATAATCCCAGCACTCGGGAGGCTGAGGCAGCAGAATCATTACAAATTCGAGACCAGCCTGGGCCACAAAGTGAGCTCAAGGCCAGCCTGAACTGCACAGTGAGACCCTACCTGAAAAAGACAAAAAAAAAAAAAGAAAAGAGTTCATTAGCCTCTCTGGTCAGTCTATTTCTCTTATCTATACTCACTTACCTTTCTCTAGTTTGTATAATACAAATCATTTCTTGAAGTCCTACTGCCTAGTTTACAGACTCTCTCTGTTCTTCTTTCTATCTCATCACAAAAAGAACACTATGTGCTCAAGGGAACAAAGAACACATATTGGTACTATAAAGAATCTGCAATGAGGATTTCTGATAAAAGTGCTCCTTGCAACAGAACAGATCTGTGACAGAACTTTTTTGATCAGTTTCAGTTCATTTGAACATTAACTGAATCTGTACTGTGAGAGGAACTGTGCCTGTTTACAGGGACATAAAGACACTTAGGAGAGTTTGGGGGCTGGGGTAAACCGCAGCGGGAGCTGTCTTGTGTGATGTACTAGGTTTGAATCCCAGTACCAAGGACAGGAGTTAGAAGGAAGGGTGGGAGAAGGAGGGAGGGATGAAGGGCAGAAGAAAAAAAGGGCTGGGTGTGGTGGCACAGGCCTACAATCACAATGCTCAGGAGGCTGAGGCAGAAGGATTGCCACAAATTTAAGGCCAGCCTAGGGTACAAAGTGAGTTTCAGGCCAGCCTGAACTACACAGCAAGACTCAAAAAAAAAACCCAAAAAACAAAAAGGTGGGAGGGAAGAGGAAGGGGAGTGGGCAGGGGAGGGGGAGGGGGAAAGGGAAGGGGAGGGGAGGGAAAAAAGGAGGGGGAGGGAAAGGGAGGGGGAAGGGGAAGGGGGAGGGGAAAGGGAAGGGAGAGGGAAAGGAGGAGGAGAGGGGGAGAGGGAAGGGAGGCTAACATTATGGCCTGATAGAAGAAAATGATCTTACTACAGCAGTTTGAGAAAAAATGACCAGAAATAGAAAAATCAATAGGGAAAGGTATAACAAAACCCAAAAGACAATTATCTTAAGAAAATAGAAAACAGTTTATTGTCAAATGGTACAGAAAAGCTGAGGAAGAATGGAGAAGTATTCTCTCTTTACCATCCAGACTGTCACTGGGAGAGCAGTTCTATAAAGTGGTGAGAGGGGCTGGGGATTTAGCTCAGTGGCACAGTGCCTGCCTGGCAAGCATGAGGTCATGAGTTCAATTCCCGGTACCGGAAAAAACTAAAAAACAAAAACAAACAAACAAACAAATATAAAGTGGTGAGAACAAACAAAAGCCAAAACAGGAAATAATGAGTTGAGGCAGGAATATGAAAGAAAAAGAAAAAAATGGAAGCCTTGGGGAGATAAAAACCCTCCTAAATTAAAGACAGATAAGCTTGCTGGTATAATGAAAAAAAAAAAAAAAAGTAGCCAGCAGGGGCTAAAACTAGAGGAAGGAAAGATATCTAACACACAAATAGCACTGGCCTGAAATAAGTCACAAAGCTGGGGGAAAGGATAGTAAGAATTCTAAGTGCAGATACCTTTAAAAACTCTTAACATAGGGGCTGGGGATTTAGCTCAGCAGCACAGCGCCTGACTGGCAAGTGCGAGGTTGTGAGTTTGATTCCCAGTACCAGGAAAAAAAAAAAAAAAAAGAAAATTATTTTTTGCCGGGCGTGATGGCTCACGCCTGTAATCCCAGCACTTGGGAGGCTGTGGCAGGAGGATCGTATGCAAGTTCGAGACCAGTTTGGGCTACAAAGTGAGCTCAAGGCCAGCCTGAACTGCATAGTGAGACCCTGTCTCAAAAGAAAAAAAAAAAACTGGTAACATAGGCAGCATGAAGAGATGGAACAGGATAGAAAGTTTAAGCAGTCTTTTCAGAAACAAAGCTGGAGCAAGGGGAGTTAGAAAGCAGTTTGAACAGAGCGCCAAACACCTGAAATCCCTCATGAGAGCAGGACACAGAACGATGAGCAACACTATGGGTCCAGGTGGAACTAAGTGTCAGTCAGCTGTAGATATCACCAGGACACACAGCTGTGATTTTCCTCAGCACACTCACTTGCCAACTTACAGATACAAACTTGGCCAGAAGACCAAATATGAAGAATTACGGTGCTTTGACAGATGGGTGTGGTGGCGCACGTCTGTAATCCCAGCACTCAGGAGGCTGAGGCAGGAGGATTGTTGTGACTTCGAGACCAGCCTGGGCTACAAAGTGAGCTGAAGGCTAGCCTGAACTGCATAGCGAGACCCTGTCTCAAAAAAAGACCAAAAAAAAAAAAAAGGGAATTACAGTGCTGGCTTAAAAATATGTATAACTACACGACCCAGGCTAACTAGAGAAGAAAGTAAAGCCAATGGGGAGGATAAACAGGGATGAAGTAAAAATGTAATGGCATGGCTATGAGCTGATTTAAGTCATTTCATATACAGTCTAGGACACGCAATTAAGGAACACAGTACCACCTTCCACAGAATGAATTCCTAAGAACAACCCCATGATTGAGATTTTTGGTGCCTGACAGAGGAAATGCAACAGACTTACCAAACAGTCACGCTGCAGGGTCTTACACAGAGCATTGTACATGTCAGCATCCAAGAAGAGACCATCAGGCATGTCTTGTAAGAAGTCCAAGTCTTTAAAGGTTGGCAGAGGCTTCTCTCGCTCTTTCTGAGAAGCACGCCGTTTGTAAGTGGAGCCCTTGAGGTCGTATTTGATATGCATCTTGACTGACCTTGGTAAGAGATTGTTCATCACCACAATCCGAATGTTCTTGCCACCCGCCTGCACACAGTACAGTCCATAGAATTTAGGCAACAAAGTGCGAGGGTTCTGGTTGAGGTTCTGAGGACACAGAAATAAAAAGTAATGGAGCAAGCCAGTTCATTTTCAGTGAAACTCAAGGGCAAAAGTTACCATCCATCCTGCCTTTGTCTCTGACATAGGCATGAACTGTCTGTCCATACGCCCACATACTTGTTTAAAATTTCCCAACACTTGTATCTCGATGATGAGATCACCACGAAGCTGTGCCACAGACCCTACGGTACAGTAGTCACTGAGGACATGAAAAGTAAGCTGGATATATTCAGAGGAGTTTAAGACAGGTGTTTTTTCCCAAGGTTTTGTTTTGTTTTGTTTTTTTTGTTTTTCTCCGGTACCGGGAACCGAACTCACGACCTCGCGCTTGCCAGGCAGGCGCTTTGCCGCTGAGCTAAATCCCCAGCCCCATTTGTTTTGTTTTTTGAGACAGGGTTTTGCTATGTAGTGCAGGCTGGCCTTGAACTCTATGTAGCCCAAGCAAAGAATTTTATTTGTTTTTACAAATGCATGTATTAATATGTTTGAAACACATAATACTTACATTCATCTTGTGGAATTGGTACACATCACATCTTGATCATTTTTACTTCCTGTTCCTTCCCCCCTCCCTCTGGATTCCCTTCTCACCTCCACAGTCTATCTCCACTTCCTACCATCTCTCTTTCACTTTGTTCTTTATTTATATTTGGGGTCTCTCGTATCAGAGAAACCACATGATATTTAACCTTCTGTGAATGATTTCACTTAGCATTATGGTCTCTAGATCCATCTGTTTCCCAAAAAATGACTCAGGTTTAACCTTCTTTATGGCCTAGAGGTACTCCACTGCATAAACACACATTTTCTTCATTCATCTGTTGATGATCATGTAGGCCTCTCTTTTTTTTTTTTCAGTAATGGGAATTGAACTCAGGGCCTTGTGCTTTGCCAGGCATCCCCAGCCCCTAAGCCTCCTTCATAATTTAGTTATTGTAACTTGTGCTACTATGTGATAACTCTTCTAAGACAGTATCTCAAAAAGGTATAGGTAGATCAAATAAAATTTTTAGTTTTAGTTTTCTGAAGAATCTCCATACTATTTTCCACAGTAGTTATACCAATATACATTCCTACCAACAGTGTGAAATGTTCCTTTTTCCCCCACAACCACACTAGCATTTGTTGTTTTGGAAATCCTTGATCATAGCCATTCTTACTGGAGTAAGATGGAATCTCAGTGCTGTTCTTTTTTTTTTTTTTCTGTCTTTGTCTTTTTGAGACAGGGTCTCGGCTATGCAGTTCAGGCTGGCCTTGAGCTCACTTTGTAGCCCAGGGTGGTCTTGAACTTGCACCGATCCTCTTGCCTCAGCCTCCCGAGTGCTGGGATTACAGGCGTGTGCCACCACACTCAGCCAATGCTATTTTAATTTGCAATTCTCTAATGGCTAAAGATACTCAACATGTTTTTCATGTATTTATTGATCATTTGTACTTGTTCTTTTGAAAAGTGTTGATCATTTTCAACTGCCCATTTTTGACCGGATTTCTAACTTTTTATACTTCTTTATACATTCCTCTAAGGAATGGCTGGCAAAAATTCCCATTCTGCAGGTTATTTTTTCACTCTCTTGGTTGTTTGCTGTGCAGGTGCTTTTTAAATTGATCTAATCCCATAGGTTGATTCTTGGTATTATACCTTGTGGAACTGGAGTTCTGTTTAAGAAGTCCTTGTCTAATCAGGCATGGTGGTTCATGCCTGTAATCCCAGCACTCAGGAGGCTGAGATAGGAGGACTGACATGAGTTTAAGGCCAACTTGAGCTATACAGCAAGTTCAAGGTCAGCCTCCACTATATAGCAACACTCTGTTTCAAAAATTTTTTTCAAAAAGTCCTTGTCTTGGCTGTCTTCCAGAGTTTCACCTTATTTTTCTCCGTTAAGCACATAGTGTTTCTGATTTCATATCTAGCACTTCGATCGATTTTGACCTGATTTAATGCGGTGTGAAAGGTATCTAGAATTATTCCTCAGCATGTGGACTGCGGACAAGCAGCACTATTTGTTAAAGAGGCTATCATTTTTTCAGCCTATGTTATTGGCCCCTTTGTCAAAAATCACAAGGCTAAAGGTATGTGGGGGTTGGTTCTGCATCCTCCATTCTATTCCACTGGTAAATATGTGTTTTGGTGCCATATCATGCTGTTTTCATTATGCAGCTTTGTGGTATAGTTTGAAGTCAAGGATCGTATTGCTTTGGCTATTTTGGGTCTCTCTGGTTCCACATAAATTTCAGTTTTGTTTTGTTTTTTTTTTTTTTTTTGGTTTTTCTCCGGTACCGGGAACCGAACTCACGATCTTGCGCTTGCCAGGCAGGCGCTTTTGCCACTGAGCTAAATCCCCAGCAGAATTTTTTTTTTTGTACTGGGAATGGAACTCACAACCTTGTGCTTGCCAGGCAGACACTGTGCCACTGAGCTATATCCCTGGCCTGGAATTTTTTTTTTTTTTCTTCTCATTCTATGAAAAAATGTTTATTGGTATTTTGACTGAAATTGCACTTAATCTAAACATCATTTTTGGTAACGTGGCCATTTGATAATACTGATTCTACCTATCCAATATCCCTATGCAAAGAGATATCTTTGCATTTTCTTTCTTTTTTCCTTTCTTGGTTTTTTTATCTTTCTATTTGCTAATGTCCACTTCAATCTTTTTTCAAAGCATGAGAGCTGTCCTTATAAAGGCTACTCACTGAGCCAGGTGTGGTGGCACTCCTTGTACTCCCAAGACTCATTGCAGCAGGACTGCTGCACGTTCAAGGCCAGCATAAAATATATAGTGTGACTCTGTCTCAAAAAACTAAAAAATAGCCCAGCATGGTGGTACACGCCTGTAATCCCAGCACTCGGGAGGCTGAGGCAGGAGGATCATTCAAAGTTTGAGACCAGCCTGGGCTACAAAGTGAGTTCAAAGTGCATAGTAAGTGAGAACCTGTCTCAGGGCTGGCGATTTAACTCAGTGCCACAGTGCCTACCTGGCAAGCACAAAGTTGTTAGTTCGATTTCAGGTACTGGAAAACACACACACACACACACACACAACCCCTAAAAAATAAAATAACAATACAGGTCATTCACTTCTGTAGTTAAATTCATTTCTGGTATTTCTTTTTTCTTTTTTTTTTTTTTTAAGCTACAGTGATTGGGGCTGTTTTCCTAATTTATTTTTCAGTGATGTCATTATTAGTGTACAAAAACACTACTGAATAATGTTTGTTAATTTTATATACTGTCACTTGGCTGAATTTGTCAGTTCTGAGTCTTCTGTGGTTTTTTGGATTGTCTAGGTAAGGGACTGTGTCATCTGCAAATAACAATAACCTGTATAGGCCAGGGATATAGCTCAGTAACACAAGTGCCTGCCTGGCAAGCACAAGGTCCTGAGTTTGATCCCTGGTACTGAAAAAAAAAGAAAATAATAATAATAATAATAATAATAATAATAATAATAATAATAATAGCCTCACTTCTTCCTTTCTTGTTTAAATCTATTTTCTTTCTCTCTGTTGCTTGGTTGCTCTGACTGGAGTTGCAAGCACGATACTAAAGGGGAGTGGTAAGAGTAGACACCCTTGACCTGTTCTGATTTTAGAGGGACTGCTTTCAGTTTCTGCCCATTTAATATGATGTTGGCAGTGGGGTTATACAGCAAGCCCATTGGAGTAATGACAAATTTCTCAACACAAATCTTAAAGGCCAGAAAAAGTATTTTTTCCAGTTTTTTTTAGACTGGAAAGCACATGAAATTTTCTGAAATGCTATACCTTATGCCATAGAGCATGCTTACATACAATACACAATAATTAAAATCTGCCATTGAAATCTACCATCAAATTAACACAGAATGAAATCAGAAATCAACAGCAAAAGAAACTATAGGAATTATGCAAATTAATCTATAATCCTGAATAATCTATGGTAACAGAAGAAATGTAGAAGTTAACAGAATCAAGTGACAGTGGTAGTACAACATACCAAAACCATAAGAGAGACATTTATAGCTGTGAATGCATACATTAGAAAAAAGTGACCTCAAATAAATAAATAACTTAATATATCTCAAGGTCCTAGAAAAACAAGAGCAACACCAACCCAAAACTTGTAGATGGAAAGAAATTATAAAAATCAGAGCAGAAATTAATCACATTTTGGGGGAGGGTTGCTTTTTGAGGCAGGGTCTCGCTATGTAGTTCAATCTGGCCTTGAGCTTACTTTATAACCCAGGCTGGTCTCAAACTCCCAATGATGCTCCTGCCTCAGCCTCCTGAGTGCTGGGATTACAGGCATGTGCCACCATACCCAGAGTAAATTAATCAAATTATACCTGAAAAAAAAATACAGCATCAATGACCCCAAAACTAGCTTCTTTGAAAGGATACATAAGGTTGATTAACCTTAATCAACCTTACCAAAAGAATCAAACAAGAGTTACCAGTGCAATTGGAGAAAAGAAAGGAAAAATTACAATGAACACCACTGATATCCAGGAGATTATACGAAATTTTGGAAAAGAAAAACTTATATTCCAATATATACTGGAAAAAACTTGTATTTCCAATATATATTGAAAACTTATATTCAATAAAATGGAGAATCGAGAAGAAATGGATAAATTCTTAAGACATATGTGAATTTCCAAACAAAGATACAAAACCATGAAGAAAAAGAAACAAAAAATCCTGATGAGACCAGGAACAGGCAATGAAATAGAGGTAGTAACAAAAACCCTACTAAGAAAAGCATGATGGAGTGAGTCTCCACTGATCTTTACCAAAACATTGGGGAGGAACTAACACCAATATTCCTTCTTCCACAAAATAGGGAAGAAGTACTGTCAAACGCATTCCTGGAAGCTAGCATTCTTTTAATACCAAAACAGAACAAGAACTCAACAGCACAACTATTACTACTGTAACAGGTTAATTTCCTTTATCAGCACAGATGCAAAAACCCTCACAACTAGATACTTGTAAACAGAATGTAT